GGTCCCACAGACCCAAACACCACACAAAGGTTAAATAAATATCACATATCACCCTGTTATATGAAGGTTAATCTGGGGCAAAAGTATTTGTGCACTGCTTTATGCCAGCATAATGTAACTTAAAGTGAACCTTTGCAGTCGCAATTTTTAACCAAATTCATCGATTTAAAAGGTTTATGCTTTGTGACCTTAAAACTAACATCAAAAAGGAGAACAAGTCCTAATTACATAGCTTTTTACTTTGAGATATGGTTGCATTTGCCTTCTCCACAGTACAGTAAAATGCAATATACATACAACATGACAATATTTCATGACAAAGTGTGTGTAATAAATCATACATGGCGTGTTGAAAACAGAAAATTCTATTTCTATCTAGCGTATATAATCCAAAAGTAGTTGACAATTTTGTTAAGAATCCAAAAAGATTAAACTGTTTCTATCCCACCAAATCAAACATTTCTCAAATAAACAAAGTTAAAACCAAACACAAGTAAAGAGAATCAGGCAGCCTCCCCTTTCTTCAAAGGTTCGTCAAAAAGGAGATGGCTTATATTGGTTGCACCTGTCTCCAGACAGATGAAGGTCACAGGTCAGAGTGTATTTGACCTCAAAGCCTTCACCTTCAGCTGGGCAGGTGAAACTGTTGGCCCCCTGCCTGAGGTTCTTCGTGCATTATCCAAGAAGGTCATCATACTGCAGATCTTCATCCCACAGTTCAACCCTCAAAATGTGCTGTGTGTCCACCTTCATGGAAAACAAAAGTCATTATTCTACAGTTTAATGAGTATACAATAACAACAAACAGTTTTCAGTTGTAATTTAGTAAATGTGCCTGAAAGACAATGATAATGATCAAGAAACAACCCAGACAAAACACTACATCAGGACAACACAACAGGATGACATGACTACAGAAGACAAAAGCTGAACTACAAAATTATTTGTCATGTTAGCAATTTACACAACAAAGGTAGCCATTAAAAGTAATTAGTTTTGTCATAGCTAAAGCATTGCTGACAGTGATCAGCTAAGGGTATGGCTAATGAAAATATACCAAAATTGTTGGTTAATCACAGTTAAATCATTAATTATTAAGGTGGGATTGCATTTTTAATTGGGGTCAGTTTGGTTTGGATAGCTTTCAGCCCTAAATCATCATTTCAAAACTTTTATGCACTTACTCAGTAAACCTTGTTTTATTATCTGGAACATATACATCCATCCAGCTGTCCATGGGCATGAGATGGGATACACCCTGTACAGGTCGTCAGTGTATCACAGGGCAACATAGAGACACACACACACACGCATTGGCAGCATGTTTCCTCTGCCTGGAGGTAATGTTAATGTTTTGGAGACATAGTCCTGACTTGAATCTGATAGAACATCTGTGGAGTGAGGTAAATATTAGGGTGAAGGCAAAGGGCCCTTTTAATCTCAAAGACTTGGAGCTCATTACCAAGGATAAATGGTCAAAATGCAAGTGGAAGCAGGCAAAAAGCTGGTAAGCAGTGACAGGAATGTTTTTATTGTTGTAATGCCACCAAATATTTTCCATTGTTAATTAAGAAGGGTACTTTGTTTTCTAAATTGATAATCCTTTTAAATGGTTTTAGTATCCTTTGAGAAAAGCTTTTCTCATTTTCTATCAGAAACAAACTGCGTGGTTAAATAAAAATAATTTGAAATCTAAATATTTCAGAGGTATGAATAATTTAAAAAGCAGAACAAGTCATCTTTAAGTGGTCAAAAACTTTTTCACATCAATTTAAATCTTCACTTTATGAACTCAAAGGGAATGTGTTATGAATTGAACACGCTAAAAGATCATTTTGCACACACAATTCGATTTGCACCTGGTTTGTAGATCAGCTTTGCCCACACAACCCAATTTGAACATTGTTTTCCTCATGCAAACCTTTTGAAGATCAGTACCTGAGTGTACAAACATGTCTGAATGATACATGCTGCAAGTGAGATAATCTGTGATGATGATGTTAACTGACCTTGCCCAAATCATAATAAGCATTCCAATAGGGATTGTCTGACTTGATTACGCCAGTTGTGTAATAGATGGAACCAAACGACATCTTCACATAGCTGTGAGAGCAAAGAGGAGTAAGTATGTTGAATGTTGAATAACATAATTATAAAAAGATCTATACCTCTTCTTCAACCAACCTGTCAGTGCTATTAAAATAATCTCCTTCCAAAACCCAGGCTCAGACGATGGTTACTGTCAGTGTCCCCCTCCAGGCCTGCTGAGGACAGCAGTTCATGGCCAGGTTAGGGGTGTTCTCTTTACATTCTGGCTCTCTGTGTGAGCTCCTTCTGGCGTTGACCTTTAAGTACTGATTAATAGCAGCTTTCATCCCCACATTCTGGGTTTTAGTTGGCATGAGTTGATGCATTGGTTGAAGGTACAAAACCACATCTGGGTGGTCCTTCAGAGAGCGCTGCCAGTTTTTGAAACCCAAGGAGTCATTATGGGTTATTGAAAACTCCCCTGACCATCCGTAACCTCCAGATACGTCTGTATAGTGTTGGTGGAGGTAAGATCTGTACCTAGTGGAAAAACCATGGTTCTGCAGAAAGCACATTTGGTAGTTAAACCGTTTCCAAGCCAACACCAACACCCATCAACAGACATGAATGAACCTGTAAGGCAGAAACGGCATGTAAGGTTTAAAGGCAAGACAGAGGAATGAAACTGTTCAATCATACATTGTCAAGATGTTACACTGAGAAAATAACAGCTGAAGAGTTTGTTTACATTCTAATTTTAGACAGCAAAGATACAAGTTTTCTACTAAACCTGTTCCATGGTTAGACCAGGATTGTTTCTGAAGCCATTTCCTAATACGGTCTAATAGAATGTTTTCAAACAATGGTGATCATGACTAAAGACTTTAGTTTTAGTTTCCCAACAAATACAATATTTTCTTGGTGGTTTTTTGTGTTGTTTCACATTGGAAAATAACACTCCTATCAACTTCAGTTAAGATCTTCACAAGGTTTTTAGATTTTGTTCTGGGGTTGATTTCAAACCAAAACATTCTGGGACACAGAATCCGTCTCCCTCCTGAACCCTTTTTTTAAATGAGAAATAAAAATGGTTTAATATGCCCTGTGTGTTAATTTAACGCTTATTTTTAAGAGGTGGTTAAGGTTAAATTAATTTTCTTATAACAAGGCCTAAGAGGTTATGTGGGGTGTACATAATTTCTCACCATGATTGCAGTATGTATTACATTTTATTTGAACTATTTCCTTTAAAAATGGTATTTTCAAATATACTGATTGCTTGGCTTATGACAGTATACCCGCACATAAGAAAATGTTAGGTCTCAGAGTTTCGCTCAGTCACTGCTAATTTACTCAAAAAAGGAGACAGTAAAAAAAGTTTTTTTCCCCAATATCAGTTTTTTCATGCCGTGTCCAGTTAAAAAACGATGAGGTGCTTTTTGCCTTCTCAGATCTCAATTGTGTAAGATTTTGTAAAGAATGGTTAAGCAGTTTCCCTTTACCACGACCATTTATTGGAGACTCTAACAGTTTGTGTTATATTTTCTTAATTGAGGTCTAATGTTTTTTGTGAGGCATGTGTGATTCACATACTTCACTTGAAGACAGTCCGTTTAGTGTGGACAAACAAGTTCTTGCCGCCGTCACTCGTGTCACATGACCCCCAAGACAAACCTAAAATGAAGTGCGTTTTTGTGTTAAAAATGTTTTCTTCTTTTTCATGAATAAGCTAAGTGAATGAGGTGCATGAGGTTTTTAACCTGCTTAATGTAGTGAGTGCCATAGGTGAGTAAGAAATCTTTGTACTGCAAAGAGGTGGAGGAGTTGTAGTGACTTGGAAGACTGGTTAGGTCCTTGCTGAACTCAGAGCTGAAGGATGGACTGCTTGAGACACGGTAACTAGACACAAATTGACAGCCAGCATATAACTTCATGGACATAAGGCTTATGCAGCTTAACTGACACATCCTAATGTCATAAGATAATGTTCACACCAAACCTGTAATGGAAGAAGGTCTTCCTTTGTGTGCTGAAGGTGTAGCGGTCTTCTCGCATCATATTTGAAGCAATGTTGTATATAAACAGCTATTCAGACTTGCTGAACAGCTGTTTATATCTAGCCCAATCTGACGTCACAGAAAAAGAACAAACTGCTCATAAGCAACAATCAACATGATCCAGTGTACAACACCTCTAGAAAGAAGAGTAGTTTCAGTATCAGGCTGCTGTTCACAGACAGTATGAAAACAATTTCTGTTATGTCACTAACCAAATTAGAAATATAAATACTAGGAAAAGCATAGATAAGTTAAGTACTATTGTCTCTGTTGTATGTCACAGAGTTGTTCTGTTCTTACTTCTGTAGATACTGTAGAGAAAGTAGTTATACAGAAACTTTGGTAGGCTTCAAATGATGATTCACCAGGGCCAAACTTTAGAAAGGGCATATGGGGCAGTAGGCCAGAGACTCAAGGTTTTAGTGGGCCCAAAAACAGTAAATTAATTACTTAAATACATTTTTCAATTAATTCATTTATGACTGTTTCACAAACACTGTATGTTATACATTTCCAAAGAAAACGTAAGCCCATATTAGGGGAGATGCCTTATTTGTTAGATTTTCGTGAACATATGCTGGGGGTCGATGTCATCTGGAAAACGTGATATTCGACAATGCTGGTGAATGTTGCGATGATGATATAAATAGATAATCTGCTCAACAGTGTTAATGTCCTGCTGCTTTGGATTTATTGCATGTACAGACCCCAGATGATAAGTAATTCATCCGCCCACTGGAAAAATGTTGTCAATACGTGTTGATTTTTTTTTTTAAGATATTTTTTCGGCACTAGTGGCCTTTATTTATTTTTTTTAAAGATATGTTTTCGGCACTAGTGGCCTTTATTTTGTATTTTCTTTGACAGTAGGCAGACAAGAAAGAGGGGTAGAGAGAGGGGGAGACATTCGGCAAATGTCGCCGGGTCCAGGACTCGAACCTGGGACAGCTGCTTCGAGGACTATAGCCTCTGCACATGGTCGCGCACTTTCACCACTATACCATCAGCGCCACACCCAGACCACCTATTTATTTATTTTTTGACAGTAGGTACACAGGAAAGAGGGGTAGAGAGAGGGGGAGACATTCGGCAAATGTCACTGGGTCCAGGACTCGAACCCGGGACAGCCGCTTCGAGGACCGCAGCCCCTGGACATGGTCGCACGCCCAACCCAGACACCATCAGCGCCGCGCCCAGGGCGTGTCGATTTTTAACATATTGTTTCGGTCCAATAAGTAAAACTGGGTCAATATTAATAACCAACTTCCATGTTGTTGCAGTTTGTGTTTCTCTGAGAATCTGTGGAAGAAGCTGAAGATTATGGTAATGCCTAGGAGGCCTCCTCTTCAAAGATCAATTGTCAAAATACCAGTGGAAACAAAGAGCTGGTTTACAATTACAGGAAAAGCTTTGGATGCTCTGGTGCCAGTATAGATTTGCTGAAATAATTTTTGACATGCCATTTTCATGTAAAATGTAAATAAAAGTTACAGTATTACAGAATAGACATATACATTGTCTCCTTGGTTAAATGAAAAATAATTTGAATTTAAAGTAATATTATTGTATACTTTAGATTGCTATGAGCATGTATAAAAATAACTTGTTTTCATAAAACCTCTGAACCGTTAAAACCGTTACTTGCCAAACCAGATGGGTAACTGTTCTTCCCTTACATCAACCATGTGGTCAACACCTCTCAGCTGCTGCAGCAACAGGACAAACTTCTCATCAAACATTTGCTTTCTTACCTGCAATTTGATGCCTTAAACAAAGAAAAAAAGATTGTGACTTCCATTATAATCATGTTTCCTGTCTTTCTATTGCTGTGAGCAAATAGGGCATTGACAGTATTACTGTGTGTATATGTGGAAGAAGAGGCTGCATAATTCGAAATGATCTAAGGATTCAACAAATGGGTAAATGTGCAACTCTTATTATCTGTTTGACTTCAGAAATATCGTAATCACTTTAAACATAAATAGCACTTAGTTGTAATTTTCCTGTAGTCCACCAAAAGACGACGTACAGCAGATCTTGTTCATCCACAGATAAAGTCTCAATCCAGCAACTTAAAAAAATATTATATATACTTTCCAACTGTTTCACACTCTACTGTTCTCAACTTGATTGAACATATTTTTTCACCCTTTAGTAAACAGGGATGTATAACTACAGAAATTATGATCCGCCTACCTTTCCACCCACAAATGAACTACTTGATTTGTTTACTCGATATACTCTGTTCATCATTATATCCAATAATTATAATATATTCCTTCAGAAACAGCTAACTCTGATGCTGTTTTGCTATATAGTCTGCTCTACTAGGGTGCAGTTTAGTTGTTTGGACAGTGTGTGAGAGAAAGAGTTAATTAAATAGGATGATGTTATGAAAAGTAAAATGTTGGTAAAAATAAGAAACATAGGGCTATATTAATATGGAAGCAAATTGTTACCATATTTCAAATGAAAAAGCATTTTCAGAAATGCTTTTTCATTTTAAGAATGTGGCTGCATTGTTTGACTCATAAATAAAATTAGTAATCAATCATCCTATTTGCATTTTCGTCTTCAAGACTGCACATTTTATGCCATAATCAAAAAGAAAACAAAGCAGACATTGCTTTTTCGTTTTCGTGGTCTGCCCGCAAAGTACTGCCCAGAACTCGAAAACGAAAAAGCAT